TGCCTCATAACCTAAAACATTGGGGTATAGAAACACCAAATATATCTGGGGAGTACTCAGAACAACTTGGAAGATCTGTATCACAAAAAACACCTTTGGAAATAACACTGTTACGATCATTCCCATACTCTCAATAACAACACCAACACACAGAAGTATCTGTTATCAAGAATTGGCAAGACATATGATACACATACAATGTTAATTGGACCATAACTCTGTTAGACAGCCTTTAGCGCCACCTCATCTGCAAAGCAATATGTTGTTGAGTGTAAAAAGCCCCACAATATATTAACACATGATGCAGATGCTGTGTGGGTAGTAGGACAAAATACTTGAAATAGGAAGGCAGAGCGGTCTAACTAATTTGAAAGTAATCTTCATGGTTACGAGGCCTCCTACAGGATACCAAAAGAGGGAGTTGCTTGTGGTAAAGTATGAGAGATGCAGTGAATATAGAAAGGAGTAATGTGTACAAATCAGGATAAAGTAGTTAAATCTAGGTAATACATAAGCGAGATATAGAATACTCTGGTAGGTTTAGGTTGCAGATAGTAGTCAAGACCTGTCTGAGCCATAATGTACTTAATAATTAGTGTATAAAATAATTGTATCACATAATATATACAACAAAAATATATACTTAATAAAAAGTCATGAGGCATGACCTCACCTTAAAAAAAAAAAAAAAAATTAATTATAATATTATATTTGTAGATGGTTGCAACAACAAGTAGAAGACCTCGCTGCAACGATTACAGAGCTCAACTATATGACTTTCGACTATTTGCAGCAATTCATTTATCGGGAGCAGGAGCGGAAAGCTCTTATTGAAGAACGAGATAGGTATTGGACTTGGTTCGAGGAGTGTGATGCTGCTTATCGAGATCTTCTTCATCGGTTCGAGGAAGAAAGAAGAAGAAGAGAAGGAGATAATAATGAAAGAAGAAGGGTAGAGGAAGAAAATGAGAGAGGGAGAAGAGGTTGGGGTGTTTTTGTGTATAGAATAGTTTTTCTTTTCATTGTCTTTTTCTATTTTTTTAGGATTTTTCTTTTGTAAATAAAAAAATAAAAATTTTGCTTTTTTGAGTTTTCGTTTTCTTTTAGAATTTTCTCTAAAAATTCTTATTTTCTTTTTAATTCTTCTCTCTTTTCCATTATAGCCTTCTGGCTCTTTTGTCTTGGATCGGGGTTTCCTAGGCTTCTGGATTAGTTTCGGTCATTTCGGCATTTGTGACGTAAGTCATGTGATTAATGCCTATAAATATGTTAACCGATCTTTACTTAATTTTGGTTTCTTACTCTTTCTACTTTTTCTCTTTTACAGTTTACCCTTTAGGTCTTTCATGTTTTTCTTTCGGGTTTCTTCATTTTGAGTTGCATACTTCTGGTATTTAGTCTTGCCAGCTTTTGTTCTCTCTATGGTTTGTCGAATCAAATCCGTCTTTGATTGCTTTCTTTCGTGTCGGCAAGTTGATCTTGGGTCTTTAGTTCCAGGTTTTATTTCTTTACTTTATTTCTACCGGCATTTCTTTTCTAGCTTGTTCCGGTTTTATATTTTTCTTTTGCATTTCCAAGTTAGTTCTTTGCTTCGATCTTTAAAGATTAGTAGATCTGTGGTGGCTTGGAGACTCGTGTGACATCTTGGAGCTTTAAAAAAGTATTAGTTTTTTTTTTATATTTCATCTTTGTCTTTATTTTTTTTCTATTTGTTTTAAATTTCTCTTGTTTCGAGGATATTATTTTTAAAACCGTCATTATTCTTGAGTCATCGTAGTTTGGAATTGTTATCGTTCTGAGAATCGTGTTTTCGTCGTGGGTGCCATCATTATAGGTGTTACTTTAAATGTCAGTCTTGTAGTATTGTGCAATTTTAAAGCTTTGCTAAAAGCTTTTTTTATTCATCCTTTGCTAGTTTTTTTTTCCTATTTTTTTCACTAAGCAAGATCTATAGTTGCCAAGCATTTTGTAGATTTTGTTCTTGGGGTCTATCATTTATTCATCGAATTATTTTTGTGGATTATCTTCGTCGGTGTCGTTATTGCTTTTGTGCCTTAGTTTTTTTTTTTTTTTTTTTTTGGCCGGTTTAGCTTCCAATCTTCTGGGTAAGCTTTTTCCATGGCTCTATTCAAGAGCATGTGGTCTTTAATATATAAATAAGTGGCTCTGCGCCTTACTTATTTACTTTGATCTTCGCTATAGAAGATCTTTATTTCTTGCCGGGTTGATGCTGTATATGTGATCTCCAGTATGTAAGTGACTTCACTTAATGTTTTACTTGTGTGGTGATAGGCTTATTATTGACTAAGTTGGACAGAGTAGCATTTGGTTGTCTCGACATAATAAGGTTGAAGCTTATGTTATCTAAAGAATTCAGGTAAGAACTTCATTGGAGCAATATATCCTTTTTGATTAAATATATATATATATTTTTGTGTTTGCTATTGCTCTTTTTTTTTTTAACTTAGTCTCTTTTTTTTTGAGTCTATTTAAACACAGTTTGGCTTCAGATTTCAAATCAAATTATTATTTATTTTTTTTTGAGATCTTCTTTCTTGAGGTCATAGTTGTTTTAGGCAAGAATTCAGAATTATTTTGGTCTTGATTAGAAAAATTATATCTTCGGACGGTGTTCAGTTGATAAGAATTCATAGACCTGTTCCTTTCTGAATTTCGCTCTATTCAGCTCCTCTACTTTTGGAGTAGTGACAAGTGGCTACTTTAAATTAAGATAAATAATAGTCAAACTTGAGAGATAAGTATAAGGCTTCTTTTTTTTTTTTTTTTAAGTATTCTATATATATATATTTTTTTTTGAACCAATGTCGTTTTGAAGTTGTTGTCAATTTCGAAAATTGTCGTTCATTCTGAGAATCGTTGTTGTAGATATCGTTTTTAGAATCTTGAAGCGATTTGGGATTCCTAGTAGGGTCTTCTGAATGTGTCTTAATTGGAGTCTTTGGATTTGAGCGAGTATCAGGACGTATATATTTATAATTTGATTTCTAGTTTATTTTTTTTTTTTTATATTATTTTTTTTTTTTTTTATATTATTATTTTTTTTTTTTATTATTATTATTTTTTTTTAAAATTTGCTTTGTGGAGACATTTGACTAACATAAGGTTCCTTTTCTTGAAACCTTAGTTATCTAGAAATTCAGGTCTCTACTGAAGCCGAGAAGAGATAGCCTCGAAATTGGCAGAGAATAGGCTTGGTGGCGAATAAGATATTGAATATCTAAATATTTAGGATATCGGCTACAATTGAAACTTTAGATATTGTTAGAGTGAAAAGAATTTGTGAACCTGCTTCTTTCCAGGTCTTGCTTTCACTCATCCTTTTCTACTTAGTTAGTTGAGCTCTTCCAATTAGGGTGGATCTTTAGAGTCTTAATAGTTCAGAACTTTAGGGTAACCATGTCGATGAATCTTTTTGTTTCGTTTTTAACCAATATAGGAGACTCATAGAACGCTGTATCCTTTTTATTTTTCTATTTATATATATATATATATATATATATTTTTTGTTTTTTGTTTTTTTTGATAATATAACGCTTCTGATTATTCGATAGAGTGTTAATCAAGTGTCAGTCTGTTAATATTAAAAGGTTGAATTCTGAAGAAATAGATGGTAATGAGCATGCAAGTTTACAGATAGTCAAAGAATGTTGAACAGATATCCTGAATGTGTGATGAAATGAAATAGAATAGATAATAGGTATAAAGGTAGTATTTCTTTGATAGAATTTCAGAGATGAAGGTCCTTCAAACATCTCAAGTTCTATTATTGTCGCTATGTATAAAACAAATGTCGGAATGGATAAATTGGCTAGGTAATTAGTAATAGGGTGTTAGCAGGATTTAGTATCGGGGCAAAAAGGATTTTAAATATTTAGAAATAGATTTTAAAATAGAATCAGGTGATAGAAAATAGGTTTGTAATTAGGGGTAAGGTTAGATTCGAAGGATATGAATTGTGTTTAGAATTAGAGATAGATAGAATAGATAGAAATGAATCAGGGTTCAAGTTGGGGATGAATTAAGGTTAGGAATAGATGGAATGGGTTAAATTAGGGGTTGTTTGGAGGAAATGAGATAGTTTATAATTAGAGATAGTATCAGGTTTTAAGGGTAGAAGATTGGGGTTTGAACTTAAGAAAAAAGGGTTGGATTAAGGTTATAATGAAATTAAAGTTATAGTACTAAAAATATTTAGGACGTCTCCCAATTATTGTCAGAACATATAACTCTTATTTTCTTCGGGTTTAATGGTAAGGATAGATGAAGTGAATTGGGTTTAGAATAAAAAGAATAGGAGGGATGAATAGAATAATTTAGGTTTATGTTGGAAATAGGGTTGGGTTTTGAGTTAGAATAAATGAGATTGGAAATAGATTTTGGGTATTTAGAATATTGGGTAGTTCAGAATGAGGGTCTAAGATATCATATATGCGCATTGAATTAAATAATTAAACAAATAAAATAAATAAATGAGTTGTTTTTGCTATAGTGATTTATAAATTGTTGTATATACATATATGCTAAGAACTAAAAATTGTCATATGTTTTGGTCATGTTATATAGCATTTTGTTTCGAAGATTTGGGCAGTTGTCGGATTTAAGTACTTTTGGAGTGATAGAATCTTCCTAGCTTTGATAGTATCATATAGACTTCCGAGACATAAAATTTTCTAGGTTTATATTTACAGGGTTGGGATTACTTACGCCTACACTTTGGCTTGTAAGTAATCTGCACTTAACACTCTTGGTTAAGGTTTGCAGTAAGCTGCGAGCTATGGGTCCTTACGGCTACACATTTGGCTCATGGGGTACCCATCCAAGGGATCTAATCTCGGGGTTGCAGTAAGCTGCAAGCTCTGGGTGCTACGAAAGCAGAGGCTTCAAGTGGCCCTTTTGTACAAGTCTTTTTCAACTTGACAGAACTTTCCAGGTACTACGAAAGCAGAGGCTTCAAGTGTGCCCTTCTGTACAAGTCTTTTTTAACTTGACAGGACTTCCAAGTGCACTATTACTCC